CTTCCTGGTATGTAAGCAGACTTTAAAATTTTTTTTTAATTTATTTTTTTTGAAAAGATTTTTTAATTTAAATTAGAAACAAGCTTGCTTCACATGTCGATCCCAGCTCCCTCCTCTCCTCCCCCTAATTTTTTTTTTTTTTTTTTTTTTTAGTTCCAACATAAACGATGATGTTGGAAATTTCTGTGTGACTACTGGTTGGGAATACTAATGAATGTTGCTTTGGGTTCTGTCACTTTGTCCAGTGTCTCCAAAAGCTGCTTTGTTTTGGCAGGACTGTTTGGTCTGATCTGATCAGTGGTTGGTCTTGTTTGAAGTGTTCCAAACATCTAGTTTTGGGATTTGCTCCAAGGCGCTAGAGATGTGTGGACTTTCATGTAGTGGGCAGCGCAGGTACCCAGATGCAATTATATGCACTACTGGAAAGAGTTGTTAACACTAATGTGCATTTCCTGGTGCTGTTAAGTGATGAGCTAGGTCTTGTTATTTCCACTCTGCAGAGGGATACTTAGGGTACAACTTTAATCATAAGACCAGGGGCTGGGCTTGAATTTTCATCCTTTAGAATTTTTACCCTTAAACCACAAAGTTATGCCAGAAATCCAAGACTTTTAGAACTGAATTCCTCCCTTCTCCCAGGGAAAAATATGAAGGGAAAGGGATTGCCCAATGTAGGTGTGTGTGTGTGTGTGTGTGTGTGTGTGTGTGTGTGTGTGTGTGTGTGTGTGTGTGTGTGTGTGTGTGTGTGTGTGTGTGTGGTCGGTCGGTCGGTCGGTCTGAGCACCAGGACTTATATGTGGAGGTCAAAGGACAACCTTGGGTGTTGGTCCTTGCTTTCTACCATGCTTGAATTAGGGTCTCTTGATCAGGGACTTGGTCTGGGAGCTTCCAGGCATTCTGTCTCTGCTTCCCATTTTACCAGAGGTTAGTTTGTTTGCCTCCAGCTTTTATATAGGTTCTGGGGGTCTTAGTTTGTCTTTATGTTTGTGCAGCAAGTGCTTAACTATCACCCACTGTTCCCCAGCCATCTCCTTAGCACTTGGGGAAGCTGTTGGAACTGTACTGCTTCAGGCTGGGCATGGTGGCACAAGCCTTTAATCTGAGCACTTGAGGAAGAGACAGGTGCATCTCTGAGTTAAAGGCCAGTCTGATTTATATATTGAGTTCTAGGACAAGCATCCCACCTACCCCCCAAATCAAGCATAAATATCAAACTTGCTTTGGAAAGATATATAATTAAGATTTATTTATTACATATACAGTGTTCTGCCTGCATGCCATAAGAGGGCTCATAGATGGTTGTGAGCCACCATGTAGTTGCTGGGACCTCTGGAAGAAAATTCAGTGTGCTTAACCTATGAGACATTTCTCTAGCCCATGGATTCCCCACCCCCCCCCCTCACCCCCCAGGGCAGGGTTTCTCTGTAGCTTTGTAGACCTGGCTGGCCTCAAACACAGATCCGCCAAAGCCCAGCTCCTTGGAACTTTTTTTTTTCTTTTCTTTTCTTTTTTTTTTTTTTTTTTTTTGGATTTTCAAGACAGGGTTTCTCTGTGGCTTTGGAGACTGGAACTAGCTCTTGTAGAGAGACAGGGACTCACTGTGTAATTCTGACTGGAGTGACTGTCCTTGAATTCAGGTCTGCCTGTTTAAATCTCCCAAGCTTATTTTTTTTATTTTATTTTATTGATTTGTAACCCGCTCACTTCCCAGTCCCTCCATATCTGCCTGTACTCATGCAGCATGCCTCCCCAAGATTAATTAAAAACAAAATAAGACAAATCACCTCGCTTCTAACACCCCTTAGTCATCCTAGTGGCATTGTAAGCTGTAATGTGTTACACAATATATCCTTTTGTCCAGTCAGCTTTACTTGCAAATGTCTATTGCAATAAGTCATTGATCTGGTTCAAGGCCTCTGTCATGCCATCATCATTGGACCCTCACTGAAACTCCCCTTGGACATCCTGCTGTTGCCTGAATCTTGGAGATCCTCTGATTGTCCTGCAGGACCAGTCCCTTCACACTCCAGCAGGCTGTTGATGGGATAGATGTTAGGGTGGGCCCACTCAAGGACTGGCATGTAGTTCTGGGTGGTAGCTAAACAGGTTGGTTCAGACCACTGGAACTACCCCTACCCCTTCAGTCAAGGGGCAGAGCCAGCTCTCCTAGGCACATGCCATTGGAGTCAGCTCTCCCAGGGGTGGGACCATCTCTCTGGAATGTGGGGGTTGCGGGGGAGGCAGCTCTTGCTGCAGTGTCCAGGTGGGGCTGGCTCAGCATAGACCTTGGATTTCAACATACATGGTTCCTATGACCCCCTGTGCTAACACTGGCCAGGGACATCACAGACCCCAGCTGCAGCAGCACCTCAGGCTAGCTGTCACCATGGCCCTGGTGGCAGCACAGGCCCTTGGACACCAATATGGTCTCAGGTGGCTGTCCATACCCACCATCTGCAAAAGCCCCTGGTGCAACAGGAGCCAGGGACATCAAGCCAGGCCCAGAAAATACCATGACCCTGTGTGGCAGTATGGGCACAAACACCAACATGGCCACAGGTTTTGTCCCAGACTTGGGCATCCATGTGGCCTTTGGTGGTATGATGGGCCATGGATATCATCACAGAACATGGCTGTGGGAGGACCCCAAACCCAGACATCCCCAGCAGCAGTCTGGGCGCCACCATGGTACCAGGTAGCAGTGCATGCGACTGAGACTGGTGTGGCCCCTGCAGCAGAGTGGCCCTCAGACTACATGGCCCCAGGTGATGGCCCAGACCCCTGGTATTGGCATGGCCTTGAATGGTATCAGGAGCCACAGATAACAGCATAGACCCTGACTGTGGTAGGACCTTGGACCTAGACATGGCTGTTGGCAGCAGCCTTGGCCTGGATGACACCATGGCCCCAGGTGACAGTGCTGGCCGCTCAGATCAGTGTGGCCCCAGTAGTAGGAGGGCCTTGGGTGCCAGCATGGCTACAGGTTGTGGGCCTAGACCTTGGGCATCTGTGTGACCTTTGGCAGTATCAGGAGCCATAGCCAAGCTTATCTTTAAAATTTTTTTTATTATGGATGCTTTTTTGCCTACTTGTGTGTCTGTGCACTATGTGCATGCAGTAACTGCCAAGGCCAGAAGAGGGCATCAAATTCCCTGGAACAGGCCTTACAGACTCAGCCTAAATTGAACCTGGGTTCTCTGGGAGAGCAGTCACTACTCTTGACTGCTGAGACATCTCTCCAGCCCCAAGGGCTTATTCTTTTTAAAGAAACTGAAAAAAAAAAGTGTGTGCATGTGAGCATGTATGTCTGTACTTATGGGTCTGAGGACGAACTTAGGAGTTGGTTTTCTTTTTTATTTTTTTGGTTTTTGAGACAGGGTTTCTCTGTGGCTTTGGAGACTGTCCTGGAACTCACTCGGGCCTTGAACTCACAGATCTGCCTGCCTCTGCCTCCTGAGTGCTGGGATTAAAGACGTGTGCCACCACTCCCGGCTGGTTCTCATTTTTTACCTTGCTGAGGTTGGGAGTCTCCTTTGCTGCTGCTGTGCTGCATACTAGCTAGTTGGCCAGTGAGCTTCCGGGCCATTCTATCTCTGCTTCCCATCCCGTACTCTCATGTCTCTGTCTCCACAGTGCTTGGATTAACAGGTGTTTCCATTATTGGGGCTGGGGAAGGACGGCAAACCCAGGGTTCAGGCATGGTAGATAAGTCTTCCACAGTCCCGTTCCATCCCCAGCTCTGTAGCTACTCTTCAAAAGTGTTATTGTCCTGTCTGATGGAAACCATTAGATTCTTGTGGAGTTTCTTTTTTATTTTTCTCTTTTTCTTGAGACAAGTTTTCTTTGTGGCTTTGGAGTTTGCCGTGTTACCCAGGCCGGCCTCAAATTCACAGAGATCCGCCTGCCTCTGCCTCCCCAGTGCTGGGATTAAAGGCGGGCGCCACCACCGCCTCATGTCCTGTGGAGTTTTATTTTCCCAGTCAGGCTCTTAATATCCCTGTATCCCTTGCTGGCCTGGAACACTGTAGACCAGGCTGGCTTGGGTAGTGCTGGGATCAAAGGCATGTGCCACCATGCATAGAAAGTTTAACTGAAAATTGAAAAAAAAAAAAAGGAATTGGGGGGAAAAAGTTTTTGTCTTTTAATGACAGGCCCAGTCTATTAGGGTCATTTGTGAAAATACACTATGGCGATGGCTTACTTTGCCATAGAGACGCTGGGAAGTGTTTTCTGAGCCAGTAAGTGTGTCTTCGAGCAGGCTGGGACAGGTAGGTTTCAAGGATTTCCAGAGCTGTATGCCAAGTGTGCACGTAGTGCCTGGTGTGAGAAATAGTGGCTCTGGGCATCTGTGCAAGAGTGTGAGCAGAAGGCCTTGGCTGCTTAAGAACCAGGCTGTAAATTCAGGCGTTATAAGTAAGACTGCCAGTTCCTATGACTTTTTTGGTTACTGAGGCCTTTGGAGGCAGACTAGAAGCAGGGAGGACCAATTAGAAGCCTATTGCAGCTAAGAGTTCAGATCAAGTCTGGTAGAGTAAAGTTGGTAGGTGGTTGGTGTTCTGGGCCTCTTTGGTAACCTGCTGGTACCTCTGCCTCTCTTGTTAATAATATAATAGTATAATAGTATAATTATGGAAAAGGTAGAGCACATAGAGGATCTTATACTGACTGATTTGTTTCTAGATGTCTCTGGCAGAGCTGCCTCCCCTGATTCTAAGCCCTGTTATACTTATCCCCACACATCTCCATTTTAACTTGATCTGGATAGGTATGTTAAGTGTGTTCTCATGAGTAGTCCCTTGGGATAATACAGGAAAAGCCCCCAAATGGGGAACCAGGAATCATTTGAGAAGTCTTACAATTAGAACAGTGAAAACTTGGTGTTGGAGATTGAGGGCAGGGGTTTGTGCATGGTAGGTAGGGTGATCTCCCACTGAGCCCCGCCCCTTAGCCCATTTGACTTTTAGAGATGTAGCTTAGCTAGGCACAAACGTCCAAAGGAGTAGAGAAAACACAAATACAAACTTTTTAATTTTAATTGTGTATACAAAGTTAGGAGCTAGATGGGTAGGGGCTGTGGCTGGAGAAAATACCTCAGCTCTGCTCCAGGTCGGCCACCAAGTAGGGCAGCCTTTCCTTCAGGACCTTGAGGAGCAAGTCCTTGCAGGTCAGGTCCCAGGCTGGAGAGAAGCTGAAGAGCTTCCTCATCTTGTTTGGATTGGTGGTCTCTGCTCGAACTGCCTGGTACTGGTCTTCAGTCAGCACACAGCCATACAGGGCATCCAGCACGCCATCGATGTCTGTGACTCTGGCAATGAGTGCTTGCCGGTGCCGGTCAACGAAATGTGCTGAGGGCAGAGTGAGAACAAGGTTGAGCACGGCTTCAAATGTTAGTAAGTGTAGTTTTAGGGATGGGGATTAAGGAAGGCCACCACCATGACTACACACATGAGCTACACTCCCTCTTCAAATGTGTGGGTAGTAGGTAGCAGGGTTAGTCTTGGCTCTGGCCTTGGGACAATAGGCAGGCTGTGCAAGGGTGTGATAGGGTGGGGAGGCCTCACCTGCTCCTGCTGCCCTTTGAGGAGGGGCACTGGTTGCAGCCGCCACAGCTTTAGAGTCTGTGAAGAAATGTCAGGTGGTTGTTTTCCATTATCAGCAGTTTGTCTAGAGCAGAATCCCCTCCACCCAGGGTGCTAAGTACAAGGTTACAAAGGGAGGATTCTTTCTTTCTTTCTTTCTTTCTTTCTTTCTTTCTTTCTTTCTTTCTTTCTTTCTTTCTTTCTCTTCCTTCCTTCCTTCCTTCCTTCCTTCCTTCCTTCCTTCCTTCCTTCCTTCCTTCCCTCCCTCCCTCTGTCCTTCCCTCCCTCCCTCTCTTTCTTTATGGCAGGAACAGAAAACTAAGAGCCAAAGACCCAGGCCTCTGGTGGGGTGCAGGAAGTTGAGGGTAGACAAACAGGGTGCAGCCACACTCACCTTTCTGAATGACCGTTTGCAGCTGCTTAGCCAGCTCCTGCATGCCCATCTCTCTAAGCACAGTCATTGTGAGCTCCATGGCATAAGCCTCCAGGTAGAAGCTGACAAGCTTGTCAGTGAGGTCTATGGCGTCCATCGGCAACAGGGTCCCTCGTGGGATGCGTCCATAGCCCTCTCGCAGTGGCACTGACAGCAGCTTCATCTTGAACTTTTTGAGCTCTTCAGCTGTCAAGTTTTCAAGAGCGTCCAGGATGGCATCCCGCCCCATGGCTCTGGGGTTCGCAGCCAGGAGGCCTGCTACCCTCGAGGAGGCCCGCAGAGACCAGGAAGTTAGCTGTTTAGGCGGATGGGCGGGCCGAGACACCCCACCCTCTTCCAGTTACAGCTCGGCTCTTTCCCCAGCTTGCAAGTTTTGGTTCCGCCCCTAAGGCTTTCAGACTGGCTTTTGACAAGACAGCAGGCGGAGATGGTGGAGGTGGGTTGGGGGTAGGAGGTGGGGATGGAGGGTGGAGCTAAATTGCTATTCTTTAGCTGTTTGGGAGATGCTGAGAGGCCCAGGAGTTCTTGCTTGTAAGCCAGCAGGTGCTGAACAGCAACCTATTTTTGTTTATTCTGAGTTTACTGAAGTATAGAGGCTTAGAATCTTGGAAATCTAGAAACCCAATTCTCATTTCCCTGGATCTTAGGATCCTCTCACATGCCACAGAATATTAGAATTGTAACAGCTAGAACACGAAACCCCCTAAGTTCCCCAGAAGAAATGAGGTGTAAAAGAGACTGTCTTGGTCTTAGTTTCAGGCCCATTTATTAAACATTTCCTTCATCATCTCCCAGTCTCACATCTGGGGGACCTGGGGCATGATAGGTTGGCCTGGAAGGGCTAAGGCCTCTTGAAACGTTACAAAATGCCCAGGAGTTAAGTATCTTGTGGCGTGATGACAACAGCCCTTAGGGGAGAAAACTGAACTGTGGGGAGACCTGAGTGGGCAGCTAGCCACCTCCCACTCCTGGCACTGATTGGGATGACACTGGAGCCTGCTGGGTACTCAGAAATTTCTGACCTGTATTAAACATGCCTGGGAGGTTCTACTGGTCCATCTAGTATCTGTCCAGTCTTGTTTATTCCACACTACCTGTTTACCTTTTTCTTCAAGCTCCAACCACACTGGCCTCCCAGTTTCTCTCAGTTGCCGTCCCAAGTCTTTGCAAATACTCTTCTCTAAGCCGTTAACGCTCTGAGACCAGGCTTAAGAGCCCTTCTCCATCTACCCGTCCAGACCGTACTACTAATTACTGCTAGTTGGCAGAGCTACTTATTTTTTGTAGATCCTGTGATTTGTTTTTTTGGGGGGGAGTTATAATGCTGGGGATTATACCCCCCCATGTTTGCAGAGTGCTCTCAATGCTCTAGAACATACAAAACAGAGTCAAGACATGGAACACCGGAAGGCAGGGCCAGAGGGTTGTTAGTCCCAGACAGGTTCACTCCCAGACCCTCTGTCTCAGAATCAAATAGCTCCCATCCCCTCTCCGTCTGGAGCCTGCCAATCAATGCTCTGAGAAAGGCAGTGTCTTGGCCATTGTCCCCTAGGGAGCAGAGATAAGGCCTGCTGGTTCTAGGGTAGCTTCTACCCAAGAGGCAAAAGTATGTAGGTTTTAGATTCTCGGGGAGTCGAATGCTCCCACATCTTTTGAAGCTCTCGAGGCATCTTTCTAGGTGAGCTGTTCAGAGAGCTTTGATCCTGAAGGAAAACGACCTCTAGGTTTCAGCTTAGGCTTTCCCTTGGTCCCCAGGACTAAAGCCAGAGTGGTGGGTAAGATAACATATTTCCTGGGTGTATGATCCCCTTAACTCCTAAAGTAACTGATTGTTGGAACCATATTATTTTTTCAGGGGTCAGAAGATAATTTGTTTTTCCGCTTTTTGAGACAGGGTTTCTCTGTGCAGCCCTGGCTGTCCTGGAACTCCCTTTGTAGGCCAAGCTGGTCTTGAAGTCACTGAGATCCAGCTGTCTCCAGAGTGGTGGGACTAAAGGCATGTGCCACCACTGCCTGCTTTTTTTATTTGTTATTTTTTGAGACTGGGTTTTTCTGTGTATCCCTGGTTGTACTGGAACTAGCTCTGTAGACCAGGCTGACTTCAAACTCCCATAGATCATCTTGCCTCTGCCTGCCTCCCAAGTGTTGGGATTAAAGGAACGCACCACCATGCCTGGCAAGAACACATATTTCCAGAACAGTGGGCAAGTTACTCAGCCTCCTCTGTGTCTCCTTGGTTCCCCAAGACACAAGCAGGGACAGTGCAGTACAAGAAAGACCTAAATAAGTTAAGAACTGTGCAGTACTTGGAACAGTGCTGCGTGTAGAGTCTCTCTGAGCCTTTATTTTCCAGTCTGTGGGTTGGGGATGCTAGTGATCTCAAAGGTTGCAGGGAGGATTCACGGGAAAAATTAGTGGTGATAATTGTAATTGTAGCAGGTTTTCTTGGACTGCCATCCCCCAAATCATGACATGGAGACATTATTGTGAATATTTAGCCTTAGCTTTGGCTTGTTTCTAGCTAGTTTTTTTTTAAACTTAAATTAACCCATTTCACCGGGCGTTGGTGGCACATGCCTTTAATCCCAGCACTCAGGAGGCAGAGGCAGGCGGATCTCTGTGAGTTCAAGACCAGCCTGGTCTACAGAGCAAGTTCCAGGACAACCTCCAAAGCAATACAGAGAAACCCTGTCTCAAAAAACCAAAAAAAAAAAAAGCTCATTTCTATTAATCTATTTGCTGCCCTGAAGGTCATTTACTTCATCTACATGCTGTCTATTCTACTTTCTTGCTGTGTCTGTCTGTCTGGCCCCTGGCTTGCTGGGCCCTGGCTAGCACACCTTTTCTCTCTTCTCTCCAGGCCCGCCATCCCTCCTCCGCCTAGCTATTGGCCGTTCAGCTTTTTATTAGATCCATCAGGTGCCTTAGGCAGGCAAGGTGAAGCAGCAACACATCATTACATAGTTAAATGCAGCATAAACAAAAGCAACACACTTTTGCATAGTTGAACAATTATCTGCAGCACAAATAAATGCAACACATCTTTACATGGTCAAAAATTATTCTATTCCAAAACATGTAATATCAATATCTAACATTTGTTGAACACTTTCTGTGTACTTGCCAGGTATGGTGGTTCACACCTGTAATCCTCAATTGGCAGACAGAGAATACTGAGTTTGAGGTTGGCTAGGGCTATATGTAGAGGCCAGCCTGGATCTTCGTAGATCTCTCTCAGAGAAACCAACAAATATGAGAGCCTGTCTCAAAGGCCAAAGAACTAACTTGTTGAATCTTCATAATAATAATATTTATTATAACATGTAATTCCTATTTTAAATTCATGAGAAAGCTGGGTTAACTTGCTGCAGGATCCTACCTGGGTCCCGTTGCCACTTTAGCCCCGAAATAACACACAAGACAATATAGTAATTATGAAGCTGTTGGCCATTTGCTATGGTTTCTTTTTTTTTTTTTTTTTTTTTTTTTTGGTTTTTTCGAGACAGGGTTTCTCTGTGGCTTTGGAGGCTGTCCTGGAACTCGCTCTGTAGACCAGGCTGGCCTCGAACTCATAGAGATCCGCCTGCCTCTGCCTCCCGAGTGCTGGGATTAAAGGTGTGCACCACCAACGTCCGGCTAATAAATATTTTTATAAGGACTTATCTTTCCAAGAACTCTACACTTGCGTTCTCTCCTCCAGGGATCACATCACTATGACTCTCTTTACTACATTTCCCAGAATCCTCCTAGATTCCTAGTCCCACCTATCTTGCTTCCCTATTGGCCAACAGTGCTTTATTTACATATACACAGAAGGACTTTCCCCATCATTAACTGACTTGTACAAGGTCATAATGAGATGATGGGGTCAGGATTTGAATTTAATAGTGACTGATAGCATTTTCTAAGGCCTTGGATGCTGTCCCAGGTTATTTGGCCTCTTTAATCCTCATGATATCCCCTGAACCTTGGCCACATTCTGCTGTTGTGGCTGAAGATGCTGAAGCCCATTGACATAGGTGATTTTCCCAGGGCACTCAGTGTGAGTTAGTGATGTCAGGGTTAGGATGAGTATGTATCAGGAGCAGCTGGGGATTCTGCTTCTCTTTGCACATAGTCATAAGGAATGCTCACTGCTCATTCACTTTTTGTTTGTTTGCTTGGAGACAGTGTCTCACTATATAGCTCTGGCTGTCCTGGAATTCATTATGTAGACTAAACTGCCCCCCCTTTTTTGTTTTTGAGATAGCATCTTACCTTCCTTCCTTCTTTCTTCCTTCCATTTTTTCCTCTCTCTTTCTTTTGTTCTCTCTCTCTGTCTCTGTCTCTCTCTCTCAAGACAGTGTCTCCCTATGTAGCTCTGGATGTGCTGGAACTCATTATGTACACTTCTAAACTGGCTTCAAATTCAGAGATTGCCCAAGTGATGGGATTAAAAGTGTGTGTCACTGCTCCAGCACTCAGGAGGCAGAGGCAGGCAGATCTCTGAGTTTGAGGCCAGCCTGGTCTACAGAGTGAGTTCACAAGGAAACTGTGTCTCAAAAACCACTCCCAAAAACAAAACAAAACAAAGCAAAACAAAACAAAAAAAACCCTGTCTTAAAAAAAGTTCAACTAACCAACCAGCAAAAACACCCCAAAGGTGTGTGCTACCACTCCCAGATAGTGTCTCAGTTTCTAGACCAGAATAACCCTCAAACTTGTGGCTCTTTTCCTGAGTGCTGGGGGTTCAGGTGTGAGCCAAGGCACATGGCTCACTTATTGGATTTACCACTCTAGCTGTTGGGAGACTTTCCCTTGATGCAAATTGAGACCTCTTCTCTGAACCCCAGGGACTTTGTAAAAGTTTAGTTTAAGGAGCAGGAACACTGCTTCCCTCCTTCTCCCCTAGAACGGCTTCTTTCTCTGTCTTGTACTGTAACCTTCTTAAAACAATGTTTCTTTCATGGGTCAAAGGACAGACCTAGTTCATCTCCATCATTTTTTGGCCCTGGATACACACTCCTATTGATGAATCAAATCTAGAATCTTTAACCTCAACTTGACAGTGAAGGAAATTCTAGATAACATGAAAAATTTGGATGTTACTTTTTGAACCTAAATGAAACTGCTTGTGGCTTTGGTGACCAGCTCCAAATAGACATTTGCTCCACACCCTTCCTGTTACAGACATCAGGTCAAATCTGATCAATTCAAAGTATCAGCAAGGTAGTTGGAGACATAGAGATGACGAGAAAAGGAGAAATAAACCTTTCCTGGACTTTTCAGTTCCCTGAAAAGAACGACAGCTTCAAACAGGGGTTAGGATTACAG